TGGTCAGCAAGTTTCATGAGCGGGCTCATTCGTTCCGTATAAGGTGATAGGCTTCACGGAAGTTTTGATAGTCGACCGTATCGGCCAACCCTTCCTTCTCCTTCTCACCCGCGAAATCCTCGAAACCTCGCTCATTCTTTGCTTCCGCATCGGCTGTGGCCTTGGCCTCTGCCTCGTAAGCCCCAGGCTCCACGCGTGTCTTAGTCTTCCCCAGATGCCCTGCTCATAGAGGTTGTTGTGGTCGTTGGCGGCATCGGCGGAGAAGTTCATATCAGGCATGGGTGCTTCTCCAGAGGGAGAGCTTCCCGTAGCGCGGTCGCCTGTCTCGCCAGCATCATCCATGCGCACATCGTCGGGGGCTGCCGTAGGTGGAAAGGTAGTACGTTCAGCCTCCTCGACCTTCACACCAGATTCCTCTCCAGAGGGAGAGCCTTCTGGTGCATCGGTCTCCATTGGTTCACTGGAATTTGGCTCTTGTTTTGCCTCACCAGCCATCTCTCCAGAGGGAGAGTCCGCTGGATCTTGTTTTGCCTCACCAGCCATCTCTCCAGAGGGAGAGTCCGCTGGGGCATCGGCAGAGCCGCCGGCTTGTTCCATGGGCTCGTCCACTTCCTCGATAGGAGGTCCAGGGAGATTCGAGATGAATTCCTCCACGACGATGTCATCGAAAGGTCGCGTGTAGAGCTCATCAATCTCACGAGCACGCTGGGACTGAAGGTTCTCATACGAAATAAGGTCCGCATGAGCTTTCCTCCCAAGAGCAGAAGTGAGAGAGGGCGTGCCCATCTCTCACAACTGTTTTTCCAGCGCTGCAAGGACCAGTGGCGCGTTCCAAGTCTCCCTGAGTGAGGAGTCGTACAAGGTGTAGTGTAGTCGTCAGGAGTGGAGATTTTGTACTTGCATCTGATCTCGAGGTTGTGGCTGTGTTTCTGGATGTAGCTGAAGAAATCCGGCCCGTAGGCCTGGGAAACCGCAGAGACCACCGTGAGAAGTCCGCCCGCGCTGACTTAACCTCGGCCCATACATCCCTTTCAAAGCAGAAAGCATTGTAGAGCATGAGTTTAGAGGCGTAGTCGGGGTCATCCTGCTTTGGTTTCTTGTTCCTGGGATCACTCTCCTCAGGGATTCTGAAACCAACATCAGAATAGGTCGGAGCGAACTCACGGTACTCGGCATGGCTGAGCTCCTGCAGGAGAGTGGAAACATCGTTGCTAGTCCCCTTGTCGAAAGGAGATATATAGCCCCGAGAATAGGCCTTCCCAGCTCGAAGGCTTTGAGGAAGAAATGGACACCATAGCCACTCAGAGGGTGGCTGAGCCAGGACGCCCAATTATACTCGGAACCCAGAAGCTTCCGCATATGGGTCGGCAAGGAACTGAAAGGCGTCGTCTTCACCAATGCGGCCCCATAGGGAGCATACATCTTGTTCCCTGTCGAATCCTTGCGGTGAAGCAATCCGTGGTGAAAGAAGTGCCACGGATTGTACCTCGCCTTCTGGATAATGTCCCGTAATTCCTCCTCCTGCTGGAGACGCATGGCGTCCACCCGTCCATGGACGGTGTCGCCTGCCTCATACGCGTACCGA